GATTAAAATCTATAACTTTAGGACTTCCTCGTTGGAAAAAAAATGGCTTTTTCAATATGCGGGACCATTTTTAAATATCTGAAAATAATAGCACTAAAGCAAAATTTGGAGTTAAATTCACTCGCTTTTCAGCCGCATTGATTAGTGTGGTTTTATATCATTTATATATAATCCATAATGTGTTTTTCGATTCAATTTGTATTAATTCTTAAGGATACCCTTACGTGTCAGATTTTTTGCGCATACGAAGAAGTCATGCTAGACATGAGCTATAAACCTGAAATTTTAGCAACATATTTAAAACTTTTTAAACTACAATACCCTTTAATATTCAAGAACAAAAATATTCTTTTTAGAAATTACATAATTATTTTATGTGAAATCTATATAAAAACATATTTTGCGAGCGTAACTTTTTTCTTTATAAGCACCTTATATGACTGATAAACTGTGAAGGCACATAATTGTTAATTCATAGAGTTGATATGTTTCCAAAATTGAGAGGAAATTTGAAAATTGAATACCCTTTCAATTCAATTTTCAAAAGATATCAGCTCCTTCAATAATTGAAGGACGATTTTGATCATTTGCTCTTAAAACAAGTATGCCATGGAGAAAAAAGTTACGCTCGCAAATCTGAAATATAACTATCATATAAAAAAATTAAATTTCTAATTTTTTACTCTATAGATATTATTGGCCACTTGTGTAATGCATAAAAGTTTATGTCATATGCATACATTTGGAAGTATGGGAGACGAGGGAAATTACTTCTATGAGGCACTAGGATTTTTAAAAATTTCTCTATCGGACTCACTATTCAATTTCTCGAAAATTAAAAAAAATCAATAATAGCTAAAATGTATTATGCATAACAAATTTTAATGTTACACGGTATTTTTTGAACTTCATGACATGAATTTTCTTTATATTATTTTTTTTTTTGGATTTTCTATGATTTATGTGATAGGCTGGAACAACATTGTAAGTGCAATGATATCATTTATAGAGAAATCTAAACCTTCAGCATTCAGAACTCGCAACCACAAAAATATTCATTTGCTAAGTAAGTAAAGTTGATTAAGTTCGACACTTAGCTTTTATACGTAAAACCAAGTGTGTATTGTTATTTCTTGTTAAATTATTGAGAAAAAAATAAATTGTAAGAGAAACGATACTAATTATTGAAATAATATTGAGGGTAGCTGTAGATTTCTTCATTAACATGCCGGAAATTTGTTAATCTTGGTTTTCTATCATAAAATCTGTCGAAGAATCTAAAAACGGAGATATGAAATAGAGATCATGTAAATCTAGAGTATCCTGTCAGAAAAATAGACTAAGCATGTAACCCTTTTTTGGTCATAAACACTTTTTACTACTTAGTCATACAGATGATCATTAAATTTAAACGAGCACTTTTTGTCAGAATTTATTCTTTTACAAAGACAGAAGATTTTAGTATTATTTAATATTAGTGCTGTAGCAAAATTCAAAAAACGGTGAAAATTCAGTGAATTTGTGAATTCACATTTTGTTTTCGACATTTTTCTTGATATATCCATGCACATTAAGAACACAGCTTTGATACGCTTAAAAAGCATATTTCATATGAAATTGTTAAAGAAATAAACAATTTATATAAAAATTGCACTTATGGGCAGTTTAGATATATAATTTATATATAACATATATACAAATCCATAGACAAAGTGCAATAACTACAATGTTGTAGAAAATTACAGCAGAAATACTGACTTTTTGAAGGATAATAAGAATTCTTCTAAATGTTGTATTTTTATAATTTGATTGATTTTTTTACTATTTCATTAATCTTTTATGAATAATAATTATTTTTAATATATGTGCTATTAAAATTTCAAATTTTGACTAATATATCTAAGTTATCTGAACGAAACATTTAGAAAATATCATACTTACATTGAAATAGCAAGTAGAGCATATTAATAGCAAGTTTCTTGGCTTTATATCTATCATCTATTGTTGTTTGATCAAACAAAATTCACTCTATTATATGGTGTCAATTAATTAAAACAATTTTTAATAGTTATTTATTTAGTGCGAATAAGTGCAAACTCATAAATGAATAACTTAATAGTAGAAATGAATTATCTGATATAAATCTCACATTTTGTCCATCAGAAATACTTTAATTGCATACGCATAACTATTAGTAATACGTCTGGAGTGTCAATTAATAACAATCCCACAACAAGTAAAATTCAGATTTTTATTAAACTTATTTTTTCCTAAAAGTTTTCTCAAATTACTATATATACATATGTGGATAAAATAATAGTAATATTGTAAAAAATTAGATAATTTTTTTTATTTGAGAACCTCTCAAAAGTTCATTCAATTTATCAATTGTTTCAGTTTGATGTATATTCATTTCTGGAGCCTAAAACTTTAGCAATCATGACAATATCATATTCTCTTTCTAACTACGCAATGTAATGGTATCCTTAACTCAAAATATTAACTCATTATAATAATATCTTCCATAATATTTTCGAATCGATATCATTCCTAATGCGGAAGGAAATTTCATTTAGAGCCAGAGAAAATTATCAACTATGAAAACCTATCCAAATTACTACGATTCCTTTTTATTTCATGTGAAACTTTGTAAAGAGAAAATATAGATATCCTTTCTATCATGATATGCATGCATAAATATTTTTTACATTAATATTCTGTTTAGTATAGGAATTGCTTCTATTTTTAGAATACATACTGATATTAACGCCCTTGTGATACCTATTTTTTTATAATTTTAAATGCAGCAACAATTGATTTTTTGCTATTTTTATGCCATTAAATCCTATTGCATATTGAAGAGGAGTTTTTGTATAATTCTCTTTTTCATTTATATTTTGGTAAATTATTATTTTTGATGCAAAATGAACTGGGTTTTATTAACATCCACTCCTTTTGAAATAAAAACATCATCAGCTACTGTTCTGTTTGCTGATACTGCATCAAGGAGAAAATATTATTGTTTTTCTTCTTATTTTTGTTCTTTACATAAGCATTCAGATTGATTTTTTTGACTTAACATCTTTTCAATATAATAAAAGTAATTATGTAACTTGTTTATTATTTTCTATAGCATCATACAAAAGAACAGTCATTTCTGAATCTTCTTTGGTATTAATATCTGCGCGATGAAAAATATCATAGAATTATCAAGGGGACTCACATCTACATCAATAATCATATGGAACTCTGGAAAAAAAAAGATATATAATATGAATAATTGAAGTTGACAAACATCACCTTCTTTATTAATATATCTTTTGGAGTTGTATATGCACCATGTGATATTATTATTTCTGTTATTTCTTCATTCAGTCTGGTTTTCTTTTCTGTCTCTTGCCATTGAATAGTACCACTTGTGAAACTGCTTCTAAAGTATCAGTAATGGAATATATTTGTTTTCATCAGGCTTTTTATTAATCATTTGAAAAATTGAATCCAATTCATCTTCAGCAAATGCTTTATACTTGTGCAAAAAATCAAATGCATCATTTTAATCTTCTAGAAGATCTTATTGAAATAAAATAAGCAACTTTGCAATTTTTGATCGACTAGCGTCATTCTGTGCCATGTACTTATGAAAATATATATCTTGATAATTTTTGTATGAATTCAAGTTTGATTGAGTTTATGAAAGTTTGGAATTAATTCATAGCATGTTATGTGTCACACTGTATTGTACTTGTTACAGGAGAAAAAGGAAATGGAGTCAATGAAATGAAAAAGCAATAATGTATTTGAGAAATTTGTTTTCATATTGAATTAACATACTATGAGATATTTAAAAATAGCTAATAGTCTGAAAGATATTTTTGGTCTTTTCAAAAAAAGTGACAATCTGTGCGAGGAAGGCCAAACAACGTGAGCGAGGCCATTATTCCTATGTGCAGTACAAAACTACGTTCTACATCCCCGCACCTTATTATGGGGTTCGGATAACCGAGGACGGATACATTACATTTAAATTGGCGAAATTTTTCGGAATATTTTTTAAGAATTTTGTTGCAAGTTGGAATATTTCGAACAATATTATACTACACTCTGTTTTGAACTCATAGAATATATTATAACACCTTCAATTTATAAAACGAAAATAAAATCAGAAATTATTAATTATTATTAAGATCCTGAATGTGTTTGAGTCCTTACAAACTGATTACCTTAGAATTTTTATTTAATTTAAGAAATAAAAATTCGAAATTTTTATTTTACATTTTTATCCAATTTATCAAAAATACCGCTACTTCTCTCTTAATGATTTTCTTTCTCACATGGTAAATTACTAAGAAATAAATTTATTTGATAAAATTTAAAAGATATTTGACATATATGAGGTGTCGACCCTCTACGGATTAACGATATAATAAAACTAAATGAATATTAATATGTAACTCCATATTGAAATTCATGATTCAATATTTCATTTCCATTGTGTCTGAGTCGTTCAAAGTCTGCATGATTCGAATACATTTCCAATATATAGCAAATCGGTTTAAGTAAGACCCTTTGAATAAATCAAAATTGCCCATAACAATAAATCAACTTCAAACACTTCGCGCCTGTAAACTGGACGAAGAAGCAAGTTGGCCAGCTCAATTGCCATCGAATGCAGAACCGAGTTGATCTTTTTTGGGGAAATTACTTGACATCACAAAAAGAGTAGGAAAAATGATTATGTAGTGCTAAACTTGAAATTGAAATTTCAAATATAGCAGGAATATCTGTATTTCCTTGATAATTATTAATACCGTACTATATAGTTGATATATTCGTAGTCTATTTGAGATCAATATAATCACTTTCAAAAAATTATAAAAATGTTTTGTTAGTATTTGTATTGTATTTATCATCGTTCTAAAAAATTTTCTGACAATTCAGAAAAAAATTTTTATCCCTCTGAATTTTTGTGGAGAAAATATCAGTTCAGCCATTTTTAGGAGATGCTTACGAACGTATCCTCACTTGCATCTTTCAATAGATTCGTCAGTGTTATTGTTGATGGAAAATCATTCGAAGCTTTCCCCACAGAAAGTATCCTCGATTTTTTCAATCGCAATGAAATCTCTCTTCCACAATCACTCCAAGGAAAGAATATCGTTCAACTCGGCACTGTCGTTGCCGATCCAAAGAAGGGGTTAACTCTTGTTGATTACATTGCTGAAGGTTTAGTAATCAATACAAAAGATTTAGTTTTCAAGGAGCCCAAGACAAGAGATGGTGCTGACTCTATTGATAACATCACTCTCTGGAGAAGAGCCATGAAAATTAATACAACACGTAAAGTTGCAGTTGTTGATATTACCCTTTGCCATTTGATTGAGAAGGAACTTAAGCTCCCAGAAGGATCAATGACATACGACAAGCTTGCTATTCTTCTTAAGAATATGGGATTTGATTATCTTCTTGATCAAGGACTTATTACTGACTACAAGATCGTTAAAGACGCTGCTCGTATTCATTCTCATCATTCCCAAGGTTTCCAGCAGACAATTGGCTCATTCAACCCAGCAATTACTCGTAAGATTCTCGAATACCCTCCAACACCAGCTGAGAAGGTCGTTGAGTTCCTTACATCACCAGAACTTGATGTTACAACATTCGTCATTACAGATTCCGTCGCAAGACGTGAAGAAGGTACATTTTACATGAATAACCCAGATATCTATCTTTCCGTTGGTGTAACAACCCAGGAGTTCCTTAAAATCCTCAAGGAAGACAATCCATCGCTAAAAGGCCAGCCATGTGAAGTATTTCCACTTGGATCTGCACAAGGCGCTTGGTCAGTTACTTCCGAGAGATTCGCTCAGTCCGTCGTATCTACATTCGGAAAGAACTTCGTTGCAATGAGAGTTCCTGACTTAGAATTCAAAAATGTTACAGATGGAATCAAAATTGCTGAATTTCCAGTTGTTGACGACATCAAGGCACAAGTTGCAACAATCGATGCTCTCAAAGACTTGGACAAACTCTACGACTTAAATTACAAGAATCTTATTTACATTTCTCCTTCTGAGAAGAAGAGCAAAACATTGATTGACGCTTTACCTGCCATTGACCACGAATCTACAAAGAGACACATTAAATTGGCCCAACAGAACCCAGAAGCTGTCAGTCTTTGGCATAAGTTCTTGAAGGAGATCGATGATGAGAAGTTCATCAAGAAGAAAAAGGAAGAAGATTAAATTATGTTTAGAATTTGCGTAATCGTAAAATTACATTCTATTATTTCAAAATTTTTCTTTTTGGATAAGATATCCTTATAAATTTGGCTTTAATATAAACATATATTAATTATCTCTTTAATTTGATTTAATATCTCATTAAATTTATTGTAAATTCATTGTAAATCTTCATATTTCACACTTACATTGATAAAAATTCTGAATGGCAATAGTGATATTTCATAAATCTATTAAAAAATTAAGTCTGTCTAGACTTTTCAATGCACTATTTTAAGGTTCCATTATCGATATTCACTGAAATATATGACAGACCTTCATATTTCTTCTGACTGTTTCATGCTTTCAAGCTCAATCCTCTGAAAAGTCCGGGGAAACGTGTTAATTCTTTTTATTCTCCAAGAGAAAATCAATATTTCTTTTATTTATTCTTATTTGACATGATCGCGAATCTATGTACATCAATTCAAAGAAAGAAAAATTGGTGCCATTTGAAGGGCAGTTATTCCTTTATAATCAAAAAAAATAGTGTAGGAACTCTAGATACATATTCATGAAAAATAAGATATTGTGCTTACAATTTTAAAAAATAAGGTAAAATATAATATACGCATATCATCAATTGTATCTATAACAAATAAAGATAACTGTAATTGTTAAATTTGTAATCCTATAGCAACAAAAATGGAAAAATTAATGATAATGGTATATTGAGGTTAAAACATACTTCAATAGAAGGACAAGCAAAGATATCAATATCGGTGATCAAAGTTGTACAACTGATTGATGGGCAAACAAAATCTCTTGATGAAATCGAATGGCTCATAAATTTTTCACCTTGATAATGAGATGTTACATGAACAATAATATCATCAGGGAGCGTTCCAGGAATATCATTAATTCCACAATATGCAACTTCTTTGGTCCTGCTATCTATAAAACAGTGAGCTGCAGAAATAATATTTCCTGATAAAATTAAAAGATCTATTGGGCAAAGTCCAAATATGTAATTACTATTTAATAAAGTTAATGTTTTGGGTAAAATAATTTGTTTTAAATTATAGCAATTATAAAATGTCGCTTCATTTAAAGATTTGACTTTTGTACAAGTCATATCAACAAATTCTAAATTATGACATTCTCTAAAGGAATATAACTCCAATACTGATATCGAAACATTAAATATAAATTTAATAAAAGATGTACCACTAAAACCTCTGGCGGCTGAAATGACTCTTGTTGTTGGTAATATGTCAACAAATGAATTGCTTGGATAGCCGATTAATGTTTTTAAATCTCTTGAATATAATGCTTTACTAAATGTTATGAAATATGGACTTTCTGATATAAATTCTTCTAAATCTTGGCATCCCCAAAATGCTAAGCTAGAAATAGATTTTATATTTTTAGTTATTGTTATATTTTTGAGCTTCGTATATCCGAACATTCCTTCTGAAATTACTGTCAAATCATCTGATAACAATACATTTTCAATATTTGATCCAAAAAAATATCTGTAAGTACCGAAATTTGGAGATTTTGATGGTCTTAAATCAACAAATTTAAGAGAAGAGATATATCCAAAGCCATGATTGCCGATTGTTTGTAGTGATGATGGTGAAATAAATTGTGTAATTTTCGTAACACGAAAAGAATTTTCTCCAATATATTTGATTGAATCAGGAAGAGAGATCGAAGTAATATTACATTTGAAAAATGCATTGTTTCCGATAGATGTAACATGTTTATTTTCGATATTTGGAGGGATTGTGAGAGGACCTTCATAATCATGAAATTTAAGAGAAATATTTTCACCATCACCTATTTGAACCTCATTTTCATTGATATGTATGTATAATATTGTTGTTTCAGCACCATATTCATTCAACTGAAAAATATCAAAAGTGACATAAATTAAGAGTTTTTCCGAGTGATTCATTTTTATCGGAATTCCATCAATTATTTCAAAATTAGCTAATCCATATAGATTTAACTTTAATATAAGAACATTTTTGCTTTATTATACTTTTCTCTTTATAATATGAAACAAATATGAGGATCTTCATTATTCTGAATTGCAATAGTTTTTAGAAATGAATATATCATTATACTAGAGGAAGCCATTATTTCTTTGCTTTGTTCATATTTGTCATAATCATGATTCAATTTAAAGAATCAAAGATTTATTGCCATTTGAAGGGCAGTTATTCCTTTAATCTATGAAAATCCATATTTGTTACGACTATAAATCTAAAATTGAGAATAATGAGATATTTATATCCCATTAATAAATAATGATGTAATAACTTTATATGTAGAAGTGCAAATACTTATAATTGTGTAGTTCATCTATTCTAGAAAAGTAAAAATGGGCAAGTTGATGAGAAAGGTATTTTGAAGTTAAAATAAACTTCAACAGTTGGGCAAGCAAATATATCTATATCAGTGATTAATGTTGTACAGCTAATAGCTGGACAAACAAAGTCTCTGGATGCAATTGAGTGATTCATAAATTGTTCTACTTGATACTGAGGTGTTACTCGAACAATAATATCAGCTAGTATTGTACCAGGGATATCATTAATTCCACAAAATGCAACTTCTTTTGCCCAGCTATCTCTAAAACTGCCAGTTGTAGAGATAATATTTCTTGGTAATATCAAAAGATCGATTGGACAACGACCAAATACTAAATTACGCAACACTTTTAAAGATTCTGGTAAAATAATTTGTTTTAAATTATAGCAATTATAAAATGTAGCATGTTCAATAGATTTAATTTTTGTACAAGTCATATCAACAAATTCTAAACTAAAGCAATCTCTAAATGCGTACATACCCAATGTGGATATCGATACATTAAATATAAATTTAATAAAAGATGTACCACTAAAACCTCTGGCGGCTGAAATGACTCTTGTTGTTGGTAATATGTCAACAAATGAATTGCTTGGATAGCCGATTAATGTTTTTAAATCTTTTGAATATAATGCTTTACTAAATGTTATGAAATATGGACTTTCTGATATAAATTCTTCTAATTCTTGGCATCCCCAAAATGCAAAATTGTTGATATATTTTACACGTTTGGCTATTGTAATATTCTTCAGCTTAGTATGACCAAACATTCCTACAGAAATTGTTGTTAAATCATCTGATAATAAGGCATTCTCAATATTTGATCCAAAAAAGATTCTTTCATAATAATATGATTGAGATTTTGATGGTCTTAAATCAACAAATTTAAGAGAAGAGATATATCCAAAGCCATGATTGCCGATTGTTTTTAATGATGATGGTGAAATAAATTGTGTAATTTTCGTAACACGAAAAGAATTTTCTCCAATATATTTGATTGAATCAGGAAGAGAGATCGAAGTAATATTACATTTGAAAAATGCATTGTTTCCGATAGATGTAACATGTTTATTTTCGATATTTGGAGGGATTGTGAGAGGACCTTCATAATCATGAAATTTAAGAGAAATATTTTCACCATCACCTATTTGAACCTCATTTTCATTGATATGTATGTATAATATTGTTGTTTCAGCACCATATTCATTCAACTGAAAAATATCAAAAGTGACATAAATTAAGAGTTTTTCCGAGTGATTCATTTTTATCAGAAAACTATCACGGCATAGCCAGTAAAGCCATAATAATGCATTATATTGGCAATGACCTTTCTATGAAGCATGATCAATTCACATGAAACAAATTACAAATGGAAAAACGCAATGATACTTGAATTTCATTTTTTTTACATAATAGCTTTGTAAAGTATTCAATTAAATCTATATGATATTTTAAGCCTATTCCATTAGTGTTCTCATATGTCATAAGTCCTCGCATAAATTGATTCGTTATTTTCATTTTTTAATGAAAACAGTTCTCAGAGATCTTTTATCCTCTGGTCATAAGATCATAAAAGGAGCTGTTTCAATCGATCCTGATGATGTCCCTCTTCAGAAACTCAAGCTTATTATATGTGGTGATGAAAAGTCCGGTAAATCAAAATTATTTGATCGAATTATCAAAGATACATATACAGAAAACTATTTTCAAACAATCGGTAGTGATTTCGAAAAGACAAATAGAGTAGTGCCAGGAGCAAATGTCGAGTTAGAAGTTTGGGATACAGCAGGATCTCCACAATATCGTTCAATATTGCCAATTTTCTTTAATAATGCTGATATAGTTATTGTCGTATTCGATGTTACAAGCAGAAAGACATTTGAAGCCATCCCTGGTTTTATAACTGATGCAAGAAACTGGGTAAACAATGATTGTGACATTGCCGTGTTTGGTACCAAAATAGATAGTTGGAAAAACAAGAGAGAAGTCGAGTTCGAAGAAGCTGATCAACTTACAAAAAGATTCGATACACGTTATTTCGAAACCAGTGCTGTAACTACACAAGGATTAGAGGATGCCATTAGAAAACTTCTAAAGCATGCTCTAAAGCGTAAAAGACTCTTACCAGAATGGTTATTATCAACTCCAAGAGATGGTAATGAAAGTGATGACGATTGAACGCTTGTTGTTTTGTGTAAATGTTGTTTTTGTTTATAAATTTAAAATATTTCATGTTTTATGAACTAATTATAATAACTCAGAAAAAATCAAATAAAGATAAGGGAAGACATGTCTATATTTTGGCATAAAAGCTCAGAGCACGTATATATTATAAAAGAACCTGAGAAATTTACCTTAATACACCTTTTGAAGATTTTTAGTAGAAATTCAGGTTAGCGCTTCTTTTGCACAGGCTGTGGTGGTTGTTATAGTAGACTTGAATCGTAATTTGAACGATAATAAAATTATTTAAAATTTTTGGGTTCAATCGTTATAAGTCTATTAAAAAAGAAATGTATAGGAATAGGATATAGTATTTATAAATCAAATTCCCTTTTACTGTCTAATATAAATTATAACAAATAATATTAAATAAAAACAAAATACAATTGCCAAAAGTAATAGACGATGTCACAAATAGTAGCTATATTTATCGTTTTCCGAGTCTGGATTTCTTACTATAGTGAATCTTCTTTCGCTGAGGTAATTTTGTATAAAGAACATAAGAATAGTATAATAGTGCACAGATACAAGCTGCTCCAGGAATAAGAATGAAGATTGTCGAGTAAATTCCGAATCCAATTTTTCCGTATATATGAAGCTGAACTATTGCATCATCATCTGTTCGTACAGCAAACGGGAACTTTCTTGTAGCTGGTAATTTTGGAAGATCAGCGATTTGCTCACTAACTGGACCAGAAACATAAAAAGGCATGCTATCCATAAAAGGGCAATGATCACCTTCTCCGACGTAGAATGAGACTTTTCGTGTTGTATTAAATTTGACGTACATTGATTTTTCGAGAAGTCCTCGTTTTATGTAAAAATAGCTCCAATGGCCGCCTTTCACCTTTCTGTTCATTGTTCTATTAGTCCTTAATATTGTTTTCTCAGGACATTTCCTGTAGCTCAAGGAAAATATCAAAAGAAAAACAAACATTGAAATTTTTGACATATTGACATTCTGACAATTGCTCTGAAAATAACAATATCCACTTAAATTGAGCAATGAAAAGCTATTTACTAAAAGATGTTAAGTAAGATTTTGATATTTTCAAGAAAAATTGGTTGGATTTCGAGAAAGACATGTGGCCAAAACTCATATTGAACAAAAAATATAAAATATTGCATGATATGTATTCTTATACTGCGTATTATTATTGTAAAGAATGAAGACGGTTTACAAAAAAAAGCGAATTTTTGAAAATGAACAACTCTTCAAAGCTGTCGAAGACAAAATCAGCGAAAGAACCTGCCGAAATCTCTATTTCTGAGTCCTTTAAGAGGTATGAAACAGAATATCAAAATGTATTAAAGATTGAAAAACATAATGAACAATTAACTGAAAAAAGCATAGCTTTGAACAGACAAATTGAAGCTCTTCGATACAAAAATAACAGAGATCAACAAATATTGCAGGTTAGACAGAATTTCATTCAAAAACAAACCGCAAAAATCGAAGAAAATATAAATAAATATCAAGATGATATAGAAAAGGCAAAAGGAATCAACAATGAGATTACTTCAGTTCAGAACGAAGGCCAGTCATTAATTGAACAAATTAACAGTAAATTAGAAAATTTAATCCCTCCAGAACCTCCGAAATGGGCTTCTGAAGATGAAATGTTGCAATACAAGAGAGCCAAACTTAAGGCTATCAAATTCAAAAACGAAATGCAAAAGAAATTAATCCAAAATTTAATTCCTCATCAAAAAGAAATTTTCCAGCTTCAATTACAAGCATTCCAAGATAGATTGAATGCTGCTGATAAAAGATGCTCAGTTAGCCAGAAAATCCTTGAAGATCAGCACGAATACTTAATCAAGCAGAAAGAAGCTGAAATTTCCGAACAAAACGATGTAGCTGATGATGCTGAATTATGCATAGCCAGAACCCAAATAGATTCCTTCGAATTCGACGTCGGAAACCAAATGATTTTAACAAGTGACTTAGAAGCTTCAAATGACCAGCGCCTTAAGAATCTACAAGCCAAGGAAGCTGAAGTATCCGAAACCGAGCAATTTATCAAGCAAGCGCAGATCAGTTCCGCAACTTCCAAATCCCAAATTGATTTTGAACTTTTCGACGCGCAATCGACCATCCCGTTATCAGAGAGTAATGAACAACTTGTGATTCTTGATCCTGATGTCCCACAGGACGCAATTGTCACTCAAATTGTAAATCACGCAGATCAAGAGTATCCTGATGGAAAAGAGAAGCAGAGACGTGAAGATTTCCTTAATAGATACCATCTCAAGGTCTCTAACTTTGCTTTATTGATCAGAGAAAGATCTGAAATTGAAGCTCTTCAATTACAGATAAATTATGCCCAAATTGAGCAGAAAGAAGCTCAGTTTACCTTATCTCAGAAGGAAGCACTCGTTGCAAGAACAAAAGAAGCTTTAAAGCGTCAAAAAGAATTATTTGAAAAAATGAAAGCAAAAGTAGATGAAGCAGACGTTGGAGATGAATTCATTGAGAAGTATATTGATAGAAATGATAGAATCCTTCAGGAATCTCGCGGTCTTCTTGAAGCAACAAGGAAAGAAACAATTGATGCTGAAAATGAGCTCAAAGAGCTTCAGGAAGCATTAAATGCTATGAGTAATAATTAATTGTATCGTGTATCCATATTCTATTTCTATTAGTTGTTTTATTTAAAATTTTAAAATATTATTAGGCATTAAAATCGTTTTTTCATCTATAATGCTATTGCTTTAATTATGTATATGCTAATATTCCTTTATTATCCCTATCCACCAATAACGATATCTCAGAAAAACATCGATCATCTAATAATATCCTCCAAATCCTATGTCTATATCTGCAATTAATTGAGTTCCGATTGGACACAAATAAAATTGATCAAAATTTATGAAAGATTTATATTCTCCCCTAGATTTTTCATTATTTTAGCTAAATGACAACTTAGATATGAGTTTTGGGGGCATGGATGTAAAGATCAAGAATCCGTAAAATTAAATTTTTTGGAAAATCTCGCCAAGAAAGACTACTCAAATTTGGTATACATTTCGGATTCTTTTCTTGAAAAATCTTAGTTTGAATAAGGATGAGCAGTGTAATTTCAAATTGTCACTTTTTCGATTGTTTATTTTTCATTAATTTTTAGAATAAAAAATGGGAATACTTTTTAGTGATTTAACAGACGTTACTATCAAAGAAACTGATATTGGAGACGGCCCTGTACTCCAGAATAACATAGAGACTGTTATAAACTTAATTAAAAACAATAAAGGTAAAACATGTGTGATAACCGGAGCTGGAATTAGTGCGCCGCAGTTGCCAACATTCAGATCGCGTGATAATAGTGGTCTTTGGGATGTTTTGAAGGCACCAGACCTTTCAAAATCTGTATTTTATCAAAATCCTCTACCATCATGGAGACTTGCAGCAAACATCAGAAATTTGCAATTGAACAAAACTCTAAAGCATACGCTAGCTCATAATGTCCTCCATCAAATGGTTATCGATGGCTATGTTTCAGATCTTTTGACACAAAACTGCGATTCCCTTCATAGTTATGACGATGAATATGACGAGAAAGTAGTTGAACTCCATGGAGCTGCAACTGATTATGGCGTTTGCGAAAAATGCCATGAACTAAGAAACGTAGACGTTCTTGAAATTCTTCATACCGATACATCTCCAGTTTGCAATGTTTGTGGTTCAGTTCTTAAACCGCAAGTTGCTTTCTTCGAAGATACAATTCCCCGCCATATCAGAGACGCTGCGTACAACGCTCTTTCCAGCTGCGATTTACTACTTGTCGTAGGTACTTATTGTGCGGTAGACCCTGTTCTCAGCTTTGTTAGAAACGCAAAAAGAAATGGTACAATATTAGTAGAAATCAACCCTGCTGAGAGTAATGGCTCTCAGTTTATGGATGTAAGCATTAGATACTCAGCAAATGATGCGTTTAAGTTAATCGCCGAGAATTTATATCCTGGTCAATCATTTGAGTAAGATTTTTTTCGAGATTTTAAACTGTTATCTGTTTATTATACTAACTTATCTACAAAATTTTTACTATTGAAAATTTCATCTAAAATATCTCAAAAAAAATTCAAAATCTTATTAATACAAATAGATGATAACTACAAACAAAGTTTATTCCGTAATAACAAACAAAGAAAAAATTTAAAATTATAATTCTTCGGGTTCGAATTTAGTTTGGAAGGCTGAATACATTCTCTTATAGGTCCATATGTTTATCTTGTAGAAAAATCCGATCTGGAGAAGATGTATCAGCTTCGTATACCAAATAAATTTTGGAGGTTCTGGTTGAGTAATATTTTGTATGAATACTTGATGTATTTTGCAATGCTCGAGCTTGCCAAGTCTATTTGCTTCAACAGTAAAGAATTCATCGTCAATATGAGAATTTGCAAATATTTTGTAAGCAGCTTCCTTTGTAACGAGTCGAGATATTAAGAAGTTGTCATCTGTCTTGAAAATATGGAAGATTTTCTGTTCAAAAGCATTAAAATAATTTGTAGAAGAATTTCTGACTCCAATAACCATTTGTCTGTGATTCTGACCGAGAGCTCCCATGTAAGTATTAAAAATACTTAAGTCATTAAGCTCTTTATAGTCTAAAATAAAGATTACGTTTCCTTTTGAACGTAGAACAGCAGTTCTGAAGTAATCACTTTGGCTCATGCTCGAATGATAGCTAACAACCATCATTAACTGTACAATAATCGTATTAATTCCAATTAGAGATCTATTCGAGATTCCTGGATGTTGGAATATAACAATTAATTGGATATTGTAATTTGGATGCTGCTCTTTATATTTTGTAAGAAAAGATATTGTATTTTGAATTTCTGCTTCATAAGACTGAGTAAGACCAATAATAAATGTGGTATCTATGGATATGTTTTGATCCGGAGGTACTAAATGTTTTAATTCTAGGTCATACTGTTTGATTGGTTTAATTCTTGAATGTAATTGTTCAAAATCATCATAAATGGTTTGATCAGGGAAAAGAATAACCCCAAGAACATATAAAAAGGACAGAATGCCAACCAATACAACAACTGTATTGATGATAAAAAGGATCAATTTCTTCCGAAAAAAAAATATGAATGATCCAAAATCATCAAACATCTCTTAAAATGCTAGTGTATGCATTACTGCGGATAAACATTGCTTGTTTTGCTGAAAATTAAATTTTGAAATACGATATCTGATTGTTTTACTAAAAATTCATTAGAAAATGATGTTTCAACTTAAATAATATTAAATCTTTCGATTTGATTTTTCCAAATTTTTTTTAGAATAGTGATTTTTAATGAAATTTATGATAAAATTGAAATTATTTTTTAATTTTTGAAAAAAATTTGGGAAAACTATTTTTATAAGACCCGTGCAAATATCATTACAATCATACACTAAAATATTTTATCATGTTTAAATGATGAAAGTGAATAATTCGAATTTCTTTCGTTAAATTTAGAAATATACAGGCCAAATACAATTGGTTTATATTAGACTATGTCTTAATTAACTCATTTCATTAACAGTATCTGAATATTCGATGGAGAAAATTTAATCGTTTTTGATTACCAGTGAAGTTTGTTCCATTTGGTTTTAAATACGAGAAGATTAATTAGATTAAGATAGACATTAAAAGATTTACAATCATTTCTATTCCTAACAACGATAATATTAAAAGATTTTATATTCAAATAAAATAAACAAGTTGTAAAACAAATATTACTGAGGATAGTCTGGTATTTTCTTTTTGAAGTATTCTCTAAGCGCATGAAGTGTCTTTGGCGAGAGAGTTTCAACATTTATGACTAAATCTTCAACTTTCGATTCATTAGCGATATCTGGGGCTATAATTTTTGCCACTTGCTTTAGGTCATAATCTGAGCGTGATGCAAAAATTGTTCTACTGGCATCAATTAAAGCATCGAGTTCTTTTGTGGTAAATTTATTATATTCGATAGGAGTATATGGTATTTCCGGTAGGAATGAGAGTTTTGAACCCGGCGGTGGTGAATAAAGCATTTTGTCGATTTTTTCTTTCCAAATATAAACGTTTTTGATCCAACCGTTGATTTTACGAATGAAACACTTTCTTTTCAGCTTTTCGAAGTGTTTCTGCATGTGTCTGGCTATACAAGCTACATAGCTATCTCTTCCATTATAAGTTTCGCAATTCGACCAAACTAAATTTATGTCTTTTTCCCACTGGGCGACATTCTGATACTCATTTTTCTGCAATCTCGTCAAAATGGTCTTTAAATCCTGCGGGTTTTTGATGTGTTTGCTATAGTTAGGGTATTGTTCCTCATTCTGGTTGAGTGGCTCATCAAAAAGTATTGCACCGGGGAGTTGCAATAACTTCTTAGTGATCTCCTCGCAGATCGCGAGGTCTGCTTGGTTACCGGACATTAGTCAGTGGTCTCTTAGATCAAAAAGTGACTTTTCCTCTGAAATCGATGAATAACCTTAATTTTATAGAGCACTATAACAAGAGAACAAAATTATAAATTATAAAACTAGATTCAAATTGCAGATGGATCTAGCAAACAATTAATAATTATCTAATGGTTGAAATCAAAATCATCAAAACAATGACAACAAAGAATCTTCAGGAACTTGCAATTTAAATAAGCATAACCTAGATATTAAAACGATGATGGTAAATCTACACAAGAATCAAAGAAATAAAAAAATTTATTCAATAAAGATGTTATTGAAACAAAACTGTCATAAGTCAAATATAATGTTGAAAATTTTCTAAGTTCATTACTTGATTTTGAGATAAAACCAGTATTTAAAAAAATCTTTATCAAATTTTCTGAAAAACGATGATATTTTATAAAAATAATAATATAAAAATATTTTATCTATAGTCTTTCTTGTAGGTTGTTGAATTATAGTCCGTATATCTGTAATCTGCTGTTTGTTCAGTAGATTTCTTTTCTTCTTCTCTTGGAGTGCGATCAGCGTAAGAAGCCGAGCGTTTATCATGAGGAGGAGAAGGGTAAGGGTTATAATCTGTCCTTGTCTGAGCTGAATATTCAGATCTAGACGAAGGAGTGTAATCTGATATAGATTGCGGTGTATACTCTGTTCTGGATGACTGTGATGGATATTCTCTTGCTGTTTGTGCTGGATAATCTGATCTTGCCGGTGGAGCGTATTCTGATCTAGATTTTGATGAATATTCTGTTCTGGAAGACTGCGTAGGATATTCAGATCTTGTTGGAGCAGCGTATTCCGATCTACTTTGAGAAGAATATTCAGATCTTGGTTGAGTAGGATATTCCGATCTTGTAGGTGACGGAGGTTTGTATTCTGATGATTTGTAGCTTGGTGGTGCTGGATAATCTGAATATTTGTAACTAGTTTGCGATGGATAGTCATCTGAAGGCGCTGCGTAGGAAGAAGGCCTATCGTAGTATTGTTCGCTTCGTGAGTAGCTGTAATATCCAGTTTCTCTTGGAGGAGGAGGCGGTGGTTCGTATCTTTCTTCGTATTGGCGACCGTACTTTGGAGGAGTGTCGTAACGCTCGGCCGGATAACTGCGGCTTGGATAATATGAATCGTAGCGTTCTCTTTCGGAACGTGGAGCGTATGGAGGAGGATCTCTTGGTTCTCTTCGATCTACGCGGCCAGAAGAGGAATGCTCGTATCTTGGATATGGGTCTCGCGGTTCTGGTCTGTAGCTTGCTGGTTTTCTGAGATCATATCTGTCTTCTGGGTAATCTGGCCTTGAATCGCGACCATATGGCCTTGGAGGTCTAGGTTTCGAATCAAATGGTGGTCTGTCATCTTTGAAATCCTTTTCAGGAGCTTTTCTGACTGCAATTGAAACTTTTAATTTTCTATTTCCGAAAATCGTTTGATTTAGACCTTCGACGGCTTTGTCAGCCTGTTCCTTGGTCTCCATAACAACAAACATGACACCATGGAATTGTCTGGAGTTTGTTTGATTCAGTGTTTTCATTTTGATGATTTTTCCATATACTTCAAACAGAGTCTTGACCTCCAATTCAGATGTGGAGAATGGGAGGTTCCCAATGTAGACTGTTCTAACGTCCTCGTCGTCTTGAGTCATCAATATTTTTTTAAAATTTCTGAACTATTGAATCCTATATTTAGAAAATTGTTTAGTGTTGTAAATAGATATCAATTTCTGTAAAGAAAAAATTTTATTTGTCGAAAGGGAAATTTTGCAAATTACCTCAGACTATTTCAGAGGATTGAGTGGCAACTCAATCCTCTGAAATAGTCTGTGGTAATTTTTAGTCTCTACACTATTTCAATATAAGCTCCATTTTTAAACAGTTTTTAAAAATCGAGCATTGAAAAGTGTGATGAGACTTGATTTTTTTTTCTCAAAATTATCGTTGGATGGTAATTCGTGTTTTAAAAATAGATATGGAGATCGTATATCTGTTTGATTTTACGGTATTTAGATGTTAAAAACTTGAGAAATCGACAAAAAATTTTGCGATCTGTAAACAATCGGATTTATATAATGTCAAATGATTAAATATCATTGGAATGATTTTAATTTGCTGATAAAACTTTGTTTCTTTGACAAAAAAATTTTATGAAAACAATAAAAAAAATCAGAGCTTTTTGCATGATAAATTTGATTATGTATAGTCATAAACCAGTAAATATCAAGTAAATCAAGTCTGAAAAATGCGTTATTAAATAAAAATTTATTTTTTGAGGATTGTCGAAATTCTTCAGTTGAAAATAATCAAAGGGAGGTCAATATAATCTAATTATTGGTTAAAACTATTCACTTTTTCTTTCGCATTGAAATAAAATATGAAATGAAAGAAAAAAAGCTTTTTATCTTGAAACCATATAGTACAAATGCTCTACAGTTATCCAACTAATCAAAGTTAATTGAATTAATAGTTACTATATAGAATATTTTTCAAACAATAATTTTTTTTTTCAAAATGAAGATTTAGATTGAGATCCTGAGAAATCAAAATTATAAACATCTAAAAATGTCATAAATTTAATAAGAATCCATTGAATGCAATCGTAACAGCTAATTTTTAATTTTTTTACATCCAAAGGCAGGTAAAATGATCGGATTGAGTAAGCAAACTGACTGAAAGAATGTATGAACATCTAGATAACTTTCCCTGAAGAAATTCAGTTTATTGTTCTATAAAATTCTGATCCGAGAAAAATTAAAGGTTGTTCTTGAATGAAACTATTTCTTTTGGACTTAAAACATTAAAATGAACGTTTTATACGCAGGCATCAGTTGAAGAAAAATCTTTTTGAGTCAATAAATTTTTTTTTTGTTAAAAATCAAAAACTTTAAAAAGGCGGGACAATGCAGAATGAACATGCTATCAATGCAAATGCATATGGACTAAGAGATGCAATAAAGTGCAAAGAGAGGAAGGAAAAAAATCGACCTAAAGAAGAATTGAAATGTCAAAACCTCCAGAAAATAAACTCTTATTGTTAACTGAAAAAATAAATTGCAGAGAAATGATGCAGAATATATATTTTCAACAAAAAAGTATGTGAACTGATAAACCGAGTTTGAAACTTTTTCAAAAAGGAAGATCCATGATCCCTAATATCTAAAACTAGAGGGATTGGTGACCAGCCTGAACAACCAAATAACTCTTTTGAAGATTTGAAATGAATGTAAAGAGTATTGTGATATATTTGTATTAAATTTCTGGGATATCGTCATATTTCACTTATGAATATGCATTAAAGCATTCATATTCATTGATTGCATATGTGAATTTGCTATTAGCTTTGATATTACTTTAATTACGGTGATAGTAGTATATATATGCGGGTTGTGTGACTTTTTTTGTAATCGTAAGAATTCTCACATAATTGAATGATTTTTGAACATACTTCCGAATAGCAGATTTTAAAAATTTATGAATAATTTATAAAAAGTTTTTATTCCTACAATTCCTATATTACCATTAATAAAAAGAATATATTTTTGACGAAGTGAAGATTCGCACTTCGTCACAAAACTCCGAAAAAATAAAGTTAGATTTTTCATTCTGGATTGAAATTTAAGGGATATTTAAATTCTAAATCGGTAGAAAGATTCTATTTTTTGCATAGATTCCAAATATGGTGTCAATTTTTTAAAAAATTTTGAATTCAATGAGTTATATCAAAAATAAAATTCTTGAATAGAGTAAAAAAATTTAAATAATTTATTTAAATATTTTCTTCTGACATTTTTGAATAATTTATTTTTTTAATTCGTAAGAAAATGAGTGGATCAAGATTCGTAACCGTCAATCAATTAATGGATGCTCTTTCACCAATTCTTGAAAATGTTAAACAAGTAGATGTTTATTTCGATGATTATGTAGAAAGTTTATATTATAAAGGTAAACATAATATTAAACCCATTGCTTTTGCATTTGATAATAAATTAATTGAAAATGCAAAAATTTGGGAATTAATTCCAGATATTGAATATATAACGAATATAACTAATAAATGGTTCAAACGAATTCCAACCACAAAAGTTCTTTGTAAATTAATGATCAAAACCGAGGCCAAAGAATTTCATGAATTTACATATCATCCAAATAAAGTTTCAGAACTAGAAAATGAAAAACTTCAGAAAAAATTAAACGATAGACTTTCAAATGATCGTATTGAAAAAATAAATAAACTAGCAGAAGTTGCATTTAATAATGAAATATTTGATGAATATAACCTTGAACTCAGTGATGGGCTTTAAGGACCCGGGCTCAACGAGTCATGATTTATGAAATCAATAATTTGATTTATTCGCTCTTCAATAATTTCTATTCTTTTTGTTAAATCATCTATTTTCATTAATGAGGTGATTCTTGATTGAGGAATAGATTTCAAACTAACCACTCCTTTTATTTTTGAAATTTTGAATCCATCAACTTTAAACATTTTATTCAATTTACATGTTGTCAATTCTTCAAATAATTTTTTATTGTTAGCATAATAGTCATTAAATTCTTCAACAGATGAAAAAATTTTTATTTCAGTAATTGGTTTAACAACGTTTATTTTTTGTTGAACATTTTCACTTTCATTTATTTCTTCCTCGTCTGTTTCATTTATTTTTAAAATTGGTTTCATTTATCATTAAATAAAAATTAGAATATAAGTGATGAAATATATTTTTTTAATTAATATTAAATCAGAAATGGCGGCAGGATTCTTTAAAAAAATATGGGATGGAATTAAGAAAGCTGCGGGTTGGGTTTATAAAAAGATTATTAAACCTGTAGCAAACTTTTTAGCACCAGTAGCGAAAACGGCAGGAACTATCATAGGTGGAGTATTAGGTACTAAAGCAGGTAATCCGGCGATGGGAGCACAAGCAGGTAACGCAATTGGTGGAATTGCTGAAGGAATACTTAATAAAATAGGAGGTAGATAGTGGAAAAATAAATAAATATTATTTTTATCTTAGTATCGGTTGAAGTCTTTGATAAACTTTTTCTCCTTTATTTAATATTTCTCTTATTGGGGCGGCTTTTGGCGTTATTGATTCAGCAACGTCACTAATTGCTTCTTTATTCTTAAATATCCAATTTGCCCCCTTCTTCAATGTTTCCCAAACTTTACTCGCTCCTCTTTTTACTCTATCCCACAGTTTCTTAAATATACCTGCAGCCATAGTTGATTATTTCATTAAAATTAAAAATTCATTTTCATCTTTTAATTTTGATTTTTTATTTATTAATAAATGACGACTAACTATTTGGTGCCAAACACTAAACCGATTAATGGAAATGTGTTTCATTCATTCGAAAAGATAAATGAAATATTCGCAAAGAATGACGGTAGAAGATATTATAGAGAACTTGAAAGTTCATGCTATGACTCTGATGCTCCATATTTTGATGATAAACAAACTCATTTAAGAATTACAAATCCGGCTCATGATGTGAACCAATTAGGTGACACATATATTAAACGCAAAGTTAAAGCAACTCTAGTTTCAAATAAAGCTTTCACATGTGATGCCGCTTTTAAATGCATGCGTTTATTCGTTGGTTACAAATCATCAAATCAAAGCTTTAAACAATTAGAAGTAGAAACCGAAAGAGGTGATGCCGGTTATCTTCAGATGGATTGCGCCCGTGAATCTTTCGCATTTGCAACATATAAACCAAAATCAGAAAGGAAAGTTAAAAAGTTTGTTCATTCGTTATATAATAATGTTCAAAAATATGATAACTCAGTATGTGGTAAATATATTGACCCTTCAGAAGTTTTCAAGAAAGCAAATGAAGAAGTTGATGTCACTTTTGATATGATTATTCCGGTAAATGATTTGTTAGCATTTCAGGCGTTCGATGATTATCCTAAATCATTTGGTGAATCATTCTTAAATATTATGTTTTCAGGGATACTTTAGTATTTTGTCAGGTTGACCCGTTAAGAGTTGCTGATTTACAAAATTACGTTTATGAAAAGATAACTGATGAAAATTATGAAAAGATTATGAATCATGTTTATAAATATGATCGCAAATTCCAACAAATCGGACTTCCTGCCAAATTAATTACAAGCTTAGCCGCTACATCTGCTGACGCAACAGTTGATGACGTTATTATTTCATGCACAAAGATGGAAGTTTTAGAGGATAAATGCATTACACCAGGATACGGTTTAATTGAAGAATCAGTTAAAGCAATACCACGTTTATTCAGTAAGGAAGATCCATTCATGATTCCAGCTCAACATATTGACGTTCGTTCACTAAATGGAGGTTGCATCACTCCTGAAGGTATTAGCTCAGATTTCTCATACGCTCTTCATAATGTTACAGATGTTGTGTTAACATTTCCGAAGAATGCAATGCAAAGAACAGTTTTAGAAAATCCAATGCTTCGAGGTCTTCAGGTCACTATAGATTCCAGAAACTTCCCCGATCAAGCGATGACCACAGTGGGTGACATATTCTTTACACGTATGCTTCAAGCTTCTGATTTAGATGGAGTGAATGAATGCACAGAAGAATACGAGGACTCATTAACTAGACCACTGAATGATGATAATGGCACGCCATTAGCTAGAACATGGAAAGACCAAACTTCA